TTACTTAGAGTTTATTATATATTATACTCAATACAATTTTTATATCACTACATTTAGACATAATTCCCTCAATTAAAAAGAATTCTCTCAATTAAGATGAATAAATAAAATAACACTTATTTTATAAGTGTTATATAATTTTATATATATTAGTCATGAAGACTTTGCAAGCAAAACTTTCGCTAAGTAAAAGATAAGTGGCATCTGCATATGAACTTTTTCTTATAAAATATCAATAAGACTTTATATATAAAAATAAAATACAGAATAACATTAAAATAGTTATAATACGAAAAAATTACTACTTACCGATGCAATAGGACAACGTAGTATGTCGCAAGGAGGAACGTGTTACTCTGAGAAAAGCACACCTTCATCTCGATTTCTGCATAAACTAAACGGCGATTCCTGCTTTTAGTGCGTTCTCGCACGAAAATAAAATTCTTGTAGTATATCATCTAAATTAGTACAATACGTTCTAATACCAGAATCAACTTGAAATTTTTTAATAATTTATTTGCTTCAGCTCTACCTATGCAGTAATGGAAAGAAGACCAAGAAGACGAGATGACACGGAAGTGGTAAGAGGGATATACTTTACGAGTGCATTCCATTGTTACTTCTATATTCCCTGCTATTTAACTCACAACGGTGCACACTCCGACATACTAGAGTATTCTCATATTTAGAGTTTATACTGAGAACAAAGAAAAGGAAGTAAGAATATTGTTTCATTATGTTAATAGGTCTCTGTATTCTGAAACTGTGTAAACAGTTTGCAATTTTTCAATTCAAGGTTCGCTCTTGTCTGTTTCATTTGTTACCCATACTTTTTATTTATTGAGTATGTTACTAGCGTTACCTGATCTAATTAGTATGTTTATAAGCAATAAAAACAACAAGAAAACTGGAGAAGCTATACTGTATTGCATAATGATCTTGGTCGATTCGTACATTCTTATGTAATGTACATTCTAATAATCTGTAAAATGAAAGAATTTCATTAATTCAAAAAATATTATATCTATACGAATACATATAATATCCGCATGCATATGTGCATTTATTATAAGTGTATGAATGTATATATTACGCATGTATGACTAATGAGTACTAGTTGTAATGCAGATACCTCCTACATATATTGAATATATACGACAATCAAACATCATGTAAACTGCAAACAATAAAATTACAAATTATTATACTGAACACCAAAAAGACACACATCGCGGAAATAATGGAAGAAAATTTAAAAGTATAATAAAATAGCCTTCAATGGACACAACTATGTATAAATTTTATTTTTGCGTATATCTTTCGAACACAAAATTCTTTCGACTTGCGAACATTATAATGTAGAAAGCAAATATTCATTTATCGATTAATATATTAAGAGAATCTTCAATTTAAACAAAGAGAATGGCTACGAGGATCAACTAAAAAAGTATGTAACACCAACTAGAGTATACCTTTCATTCTCAATAAATAAGTAACTACACTTGAGACAATAAATGAATTGTTAATTGCATCTAGAAATCGTCTTTTTCACTATCCTATCGCTTTCCTCCTATCTGTGAAGGCTACGACGATTGACGATCGTACTAACAAAAAATTTATCTTGATCCTTGGAACTCTCTACATGAAGACAAAGAATGAAAAGAAACAAAGCAAAATTGGTCGGTCGCATCGATCCAAGGGAATCACGACATAGATGTAGCGCTCGGTGAACGCGTACCCAATTTCAAATAAATTGTGACGTTATGTTTCTCGGATACTTTTCAATCAATCTATAATGTATCCCACAAATATTCCTACTGTTACATCAATGGAAAGATTATAAATTCGAAGAACTACTTTTAAGCCAAGAATTAAAAGCTCTTTTTGTTTACACTTCCAAGAAATTCTCTTCATTTCTCTTCAAGTCTTCATAGAAGAGCGATAGTCATGTCTCAAAGAATGAAAGTAGAAAAAATGAAAGATGATTGTTGTTATGATAAAAAAAATATATAGATATTTATAAAATATTACGATTCGTAGAGAATTTCAAATGGAATTAAAAAATTTCAATAACTAAACAATGCATATTACCTAATGGTGATTAATCTTATAAAACAGTTTCGGCTGTAGTCCTTTCTACAAAAAAAGAGAATAAAACAAGGTGGAAGTGAAAAATAAAAGTTAGACGTTACATATGAATCGGTTCTTTTAAAGTTATTCTACCATCCGTTAAATTACAAAATATACAAGAAATTTTTTAGCAAGGAAAATATTGGATGTGAGCTTTTACCAATCTTGTCGTCCTATAAGATACATATGTAGATAACATGGATGTTACACATCTTATCGTCTGCATAAATCAATGATATCGTAGGATTTTTTATCTTCGTCTTTCTATATTCCTTTTGTTGTCTTAAAATCTGTTCCTCTTTCGCTTTCGTCTAACACATTTGATAGTCCATTTCATACACGGTCTTTTTCGAAGAAACAAACAATGATA